GTGGTTTTAAGGGAATTAATTGTCTTTGTTGACGGAAAAATAAGTTGTGGATAAAATCAATTAATTGTTTTGTAAACAAAAGTATTTCATTACTGTGTGTGAATAAAATTGCTAAAATGGATATTGTTTATATTAAAATGTCCTTATATACTATCATTATCTTTGATTATACTGTAAAATGTAGATAAATATTTATAACATGTTACAATTAAATATCTGTCTAATACTATTATTTTGAAAGGAAAAAAAATAATAATATCAATTGAATATGAAAATTATTAAATTAGATTTTTTAAAAAAAAAAATTATAAAATTTGAAATAAAAGCATATTCCACATAACGAGAAGCTACCTGGGACCTTAAATTTTTGGTTGTTCGGTCAGGCCTTGCGTCAGGCAAATTATATCCCCAAGCTTCACTGTATTTCAAGCCAGAGGGCATTGGAGATCCATCTTTTCCCGATAATGTCCTAGTGGATAAGCCATTGACTCAATTCCTGCGAATGTTAGTTTGCACATCATTGTAACTGACATCCTCACCAGAAGATGATAATCCGGAATAACTTGGTCGCTTTCCAGATGCTTTTTTCTTCATGTCTTCCTTTTCATACATGTGCCATTTATTATGACCTTTATACACCGACTTGATTGGCATCTTGCTACTTGAAGAAGTAACATTCTTTTTTGATTGATGAGTTGGGGAATAAGAATCAGGAGAGCTCTCTACACAAGAAAATCATATATCATATTCCAAGGAATGCATCAAAATGTCCTAATCATGGGAGAACTTGTAAGTAGAACTTTGGATTGTGATATATCAGTGTGTACACCTTAGTGAAATTTTTCCCTATTCTTTTTATGTTTTCTCAGTGTGGGATTGTCGAGGGAAGACCACGACTCCGTTTCATACCTCTTTCATAAGCTTTCTTATTTCGTCGTAGAGAATAGCTAATGTGGTGACAATTTGATGACCTAAAGCAATACAAAAATTATAAGTATTAAATACCCATAGAAGTTAAGGAATGGAGACAATAGGAGGAAAACAAATGTCTGCAGCACACTAGAAACAAACCAATATGTCTTTTGCATCTGTATCAAT